TTAAAATGATATACCATTTTTCTTACTGATTGTTCGGTTTACGGTTTAGTACCTTTTTCTTGAAAAAAATAGCATCTATCGGCTATTCTCGACTTTTAAGTTAACAAAAATATAATTGTTTTGATTTATAATTGAAAAAACTTACAGAAATCAATTACTGTATCACTGAATAGTTATAACATGCGCATATTACTTATAATAAATCGGATTTTGTATTACAACAATTCGAAAAGTCTGTTCAAGTACTGGTCCCATTTTTATAAGTATTCAAGTACTGGGTACTTTACCTTAATAAATATTTATGACATTAAAGTTAGCAATCTCTAGAGAATTTTTTAATTTTTTCTAACAAAAAAATTTGTTCCAAAAAATTGTTTTTAAAAAATTGCATTTTTAATTTTTTAAAATTTCTACATGTTAATTTTTTTTTATATTTTTTTTTTTGCCATAATTTATTTGTTAAAAATAATTCTAAAAATTATTAAATGTCTGCTAAATTAATCATCATAAATATATGACATTAAAGTTAGCAATCACTAGAGAATTTTTTAATTTTTTTTAACAAAAAAATTTGTTCCAAAAAATTGTTTTTAAAAAATTGCATTTTTAATTTTTTAAAATTTCTACATGTCAATTTTTTTTTGCCATAATTTATTTGTTAAAAATAATTCTAAAAATTATTAAATGTCTGCTAAATTTATCATCATAAATATTTTGTGTGTTTACCTGGTATTTATTATCAGCACTAAGTCGAACAGCGGGTAGAGTTTTTCCTTCACATTCAGCATAAAGTGAAATATCCTTGACTCCGTTGCTGCACTTGAGAGTAAACTGGGTAGTGAATGCCACGTTCGTCAGGACAGTCGCGTCCTGGGTTACATATGCCGTAGCAGTAACCTCTGGCTTGTCACATTTTTCTCCTCTAATTCCACTTACGGCACCAAGGATAACGCACAAAATTACTAGGCACTTCATTTTTTATTTATTTATTTTTTAAATAAAAATTTTTTATTTAAATTTATTATTTTAAGTCACAATTTTATTAATTTACTATTTTTTATTACAGTCTGTTCAGTGTATGGAACTCTTTTGAATGATATAAATTTAGTGTGGTGCTGTGAGTGTGTGCAGCGGTGATGTTTATGTGAATGTGTAATGTGATGTGTCAAAATCAGAGCCACGTCACTGACGGACGTGGAATTTTATAAGTTTGTCAGAATTTATTGACCAATGATAATTTAGAGCGCAAAAGGTAAAATCTAAAAATGTCCGCCATCTTGCGGTGGAAGTTTTGAACTAATTAATAATATAAAATTGTTCCGGCACGTTCTGGAAGCTTACTCAGGTGATACAAACATACACAAAGTTTTTATTATTAAAACTAACAATATAAATACGTGCATTTATTATATTTATTGGATTTATTATTGTGTATTTAATTTTAATAATTATTTTTTTAGTGACACATAAGTGTTTTTTGCAAGTTTATAAAAAAGATTTTTTATTAAGATGTCGGATTCATCTGATGGAAATTTAGAGGTATTTATTTTTATTTATTTATTTATTTATTATAAAAATTTTAATTTTATTAATTTGTATTTTATTTATTAAAAGAATAAAATACAAATAAAATTTTTTTATTGAAAAAAATATTAAAATTTTATAAATTTCGGCTAACTTAATTTTGATTCAATAGTTAGGTTATTTTTTAATTAAAAAAAAAAAAAGATTTGGAAATTAATTTAAATTAGCAGTCACTTGATCATTTTTTATTATTTTATTTGAAATATAAATTTGGTAAAAATTTATTTAACAGATGTTTGATAATTTTAATAATTTTTGTAAGTAAAATATGGCAAAAAAAATTATAATATTAAAGTTAGCCGACGATTTTAATTTTTTAACATTAAATTAGAATTAAAAAATATTTTTTAAAAATTGCAATGAAGTAAAAAAAATTGGCAGAAATTAAAAAAAATTAAATTTTTTGTAACAAAATTGTTTGTTAAAAAAAATTGCAAATAGTAAATAAAAATAGAATGCTAACTTTAAAATTATTTTTAAAAAATTAAAATTATAATTTTTTTAAAATTTTACATATCGATTTTTTTTATGACACTAAAAAATAAGCCGACGTTCATTAATTTTTAATGTTTAAAATTAGAACTAAAAATGTACCTACTTTTTGAAATACCGTAAATTTACGGTATTAATGCACTTACCATAAATTGACCGCTATAATTCTGAAATAATACAGTATTTCTAAAGTTATATTGGCTAGTTTTTTTATTATAGTTACGCAGGATTCCTACTGTACTTTTGCTGCAAAGTTACTAGAATAATACGATTAAATTACCGTAAAACTCCAGAATTTTTACCGTAAAAAAATCTATGTATTACTATTATATAATATTACTATAATTTTACAATAATAAAATAGTATATCTACGATAATAATATCGAAGTTATACTGCAATTTTGCCGCGTTTATATTGATATAATTAAAAAATAGCAAAAATTTAGTATTTTTTCAATATGTCATATCATTAAAATTGTACAGAATATAAAATTTTCATTTTTATTCCATTAATTCTTACGTTTTTTATTCTAATCAAAGAATCATGGGAAGTAAAGCGCAGTGATTGTAGGATTTTTAAAGTTCAAAATGAGTAAATAAGTATACAGTAAATATGCGGTACATTTACTGAATGCTGTTAATATACCGTAATTTTCCTATTGTATTGCTGTAAATATTCTGAATTTATTTCGTAATTGTTCTGTAATAATTCTGCAAAAAACTGGCTCAAATAACTGAAGTATTACGGTAAACATACCCTAGCAGCAATGGAATTGGGCAAGATACTTGGAGAAGCACTTTGTAAAGAATTGGACAATTTTCAGCCAAGACACTTGATCAAGATTCTTTATCCAGACTGGCGGCAGACTTCGGACAGTCTCTGCCCAAAATTTAACCAGATTTTTGGCCCAGAGTCCTGACATATTTCCCATCTTTCCACTTGAATGTGAAAAGTATAGCATTGTAGTGATTTTCACTTATAGTCTAGTCAACAAGTTTAAAAAATTAATTTAGCTTGCTACGATAAGTAAAAAGTTGGATTATTGCAAGAAATAGTAAAATATTTTGTAATAGAACGAGAACCTTTGCTCTATATGGTAGTCCCAAACTTTAGCAATAGATGGCCCTAGATTTCTGGTCAAATTCTTGACAAATTCTGACTAAATTCTTGATCTAAAATTTTTCTAAAGTATCTTGATCCATGTTGGCACAAGGCTTTTACTAAATTGCCACTAGGGTACAGCATTTATATCGTATAAATCATTTTTAAACAACCCATAAAACCAATTCCTTTCAGTTAAAACCTGTAATAGTAACTTCATCATCACCAACCCCAGTAAAATCAACCGCAGTGGTAAAATACTCCACCGTAGCCCCAGCAACCTTCGCGCAGCTCCAATGCAACACCAACCTAAACCACCCTCCATCAAACTGGCTAAGCAGTTCCGCGGAGAGCTACGGCCTCCAGAGTATCCAGCCCCCCAACACCGGGTTCTCCAGTTTTCGAATGGCCCAAATGTTCCCTGACTGCGTCGGCGAGGTTGACGTGGTCTCCGACGCGGAGAACATAAAGAAACTCCTGAAGATGCCCTACAGCCACGGGGTAGTTTCAATGATGGTCCACCGAATCGAGAACACTTTACTCCTGGACGACTTTGACATCCAGAAGTACCTTTTACGTCAGGCCGAAAACGACTGGAAGTGGTTGAAAGAATTCATCTACCAGCACGTGTTCCCCCCTGAAGACAAAGAAAAGCGTCTGTCCCACCGACCGAATAGCAGGAACGCGATCCAGCAGCGGAACCTGACCTCCAAGTTCCTCTACCACTCACTAGTCCCTTCTGCGGAGCCAAAGCCGCTGCCGACTCCGCCCCTGCCCCTCCAGAAGTTAGAAACAGAACCTACTCCGCCCCTTCCTGAACCAAGCGAAGAACCCGGTCCCGGTCCTAGAAGCCACTTCTCCAGGAACATAGTCTGGACCTTTGAGAACATCCAGATGCTAATTGGAACCAATATGCCGATTTTTGGGGGACAAACCCATCCGTGTATCTCCCTTCGGCTCAGAGACATGAACAAGCCCATCAACGTTCTGACTGGCATTGATTACTGGCTGGACAATCTGATGTGCAACGTCCCCGAAGTGGTGATGTGCTACCACCTGGACGGCATCGTCCAGAAGTACGAGCTGATAAAAACGGAAGATCTTCCCAATTTGGATGACGCTAAATTCAGCCCCAAGGTGATTCGGGACGTGGCTCAGAATATTCTGAGCTTCCTGAAGAACAACGCGACCAAAGCTGGACACACTTACTGGCTCTTCAAAGGAAAAGATGATGATGTGGTCAAGCTTTATGACCTGAGTTCCCTTTGCAGTGATATTCCTGAAGACAAGGGCCAGAATCCTTTCACTGTACCTGTTGCTATGCTGCTCTATCGGGTTGCCAGGAACATGAAGTACTCTAGTGATTCCGGGTACCAAGGAACGATCAGGATGCTCTTGAAGAACTGCATTGACCTTCTGGATATTGAGAAGTACCCCCAGATCGTTACGTCTGCGCATTATATGCTTTCGGATCTGTATGTTCCAGCAGATACTGATCCAGCGGCGCCTGTTTTGATGGAACAGGAGAAAGAGGAGCAGAACACCAGTTCTGAGGCCGAAGGAGAGGAGGATGATGTAGGAGAGGGAGAGATATCTATCCAATCGTTGACGCTAGCGCACATTAGGGAGGAGGAAGTAGGGTGCAAGTTTAGGCCGCCTCCCTTATGTTTAACCGGCGCAATATTTCCATAATCCATAAAATAAATCTCCGCTGTGCCTTCCTTCGCCGTGGGATTAAAGCAGCACCCGCGACACCACTCTCCCTCAAAAAGTGCCACGCAGAGTTCATTGAACCTCGGAATATAGTACTCAGTTTTCTCAGCATATTCCATTAATTGAGCAGGCATGACCGTCGACAAATGAGCGATGAGCTCTCTGTCCATTGGTGCAAAAATATATTTATACCCCGGCTCAAGGACTCCAAGATACAGCGCATTAGTTTTAGCCCCAACACTTCCCAATTTTCCCATCTCAATATCAGTGAGCTTAAAAATCTCTTGCTGCTCCTCAAATTTGGGCTTCAAAAATTTATTAATTTTATCATTGACTCTAACGCCATCTTTTGCAGTCAAAATAACTCCATCCTGAATTTTAGAGTCATAACTCAGGACAAAAGGAGTGTCCTGGTCAGCAATCGTCCCCAGGAACGCTGAAGCTTCCGGAGTCAGTGGCAATTTTTCAATTCCTTTTAGCACAACTTTAACGCAGCCGTCTTCTTGCTGCTTCAAAGCCTTCGGCATCTCCTTAAGCCGCTCTATCTCCGTCACTTCCTGGTTACCGAAGTCCAAGTACGCGACTTTAATCTCCTGACCCTTGACATCAACAACAATTGAACGGTAGTAATTATCATCAAGTTTAAATTGCGCCAAAACTTTATCTCCAATAGATACTTTAGAAACTTTTGGAGCTGCTTGAGCCAGTCTTGCCGCCTCCTGGACAACATTTAAATATCTTTCAACCTCTTTAGTCTCTAAAGATCTAACAAATACAATTGACGCGTCTCTAAAAGCTTGAATTGCAACAGAAGAATTATTTTTAATTATCTGCTCAATTTCTTTTAATTCATTTTGAATTTTCCCGCCAATTTCATTTTTGGCGCCAATTTCAAATTTCCCGCCAATTTCTCCTAGGCGGCCATTTGGCGCCAAGCGGCCATTTTGATGTTCCCCTGCGCCATTTTGGACGTTAAAACTTTCAATCGATAAAATCCAAGGTTTGAGTTGGAATTTTAACTTCGTTTCAACGAATTCACCTTCTAGAGACCCATTAGCTTGATTAATAATCATAATATAAGCAGTAGAGTGAATTTCAAGGGGAAAAACATCAGAAGTTTGTATCAAGCAAGCAAAAATAGGTATGTCAGCATACTTAGAAACCATCGGGATGGTTTTAACGACCTCGCAGATGATCCCTTCGTCTAGAGAAGCGACCTTGAGCTTGGGAGTGACTGCTAGGACGCGTCCTCTGACCCAGAAGCCGTCTTCCTTGAGCCCGCAGACGACCTCGTTGACCTTGGGGGTAAAATCGGCATACCCTGGAGCAGTTTTATCGCAGTCTTCCTTAAGGGGCATCAGAAGCTTGTCGTAGGCATCCAGGAGGTCCTCGGTAAGGACGACGCAGACCGCGGAGGTTCCGTCGATCACCTGGGTGACTTCTACGGTGGCCAGGGCGCCTTTGGGGAGGCGGGTTATCATACTAGGAAGCTCCGGCGCTGGAGGAGGCCCGGCAGGTTCCTTGGAGGCGATTTTAGGAGGACGCATTTTAGAAACTGACTCCACGCTTGGAGCTTTGCGAGGCTGGGGCAGACTTTTGGGCTCCTTGGGCTCCTTTTCGAAGACCTGGACGTTGATGATGCCCTCCGAGTCCTGGGTGACCATCTTCACGAGCATCTTCCGCTCCGGGCCGAGGCTGGAGTACTCAGGGCTGCTGGGGAGCTCTGTGGGGACTCTAATTAAGCAAGCAAACCGAGGAACCTCGGAGAGGGCGCCGATGTCGCGCAACTCAAGGTCCGGGGTCGCGTCCACGATGGTCCCGTAGTCCACGTAGTCTAATTTAGGCTTGGGTCCGAGGATCAGCTGGACTCGGTGCCAGATTCCGTCGAAGAGGGCGCCGTAGAATTTTTCTGGGATTATTTCAGAGACTTTCGGGCACTTGGTGATGTTCTCGTTTAAATCCTTCATCAGCTCGGTTAATTTTGGCAAGTCTGAGGTCTTTTGCACGCTGAAGATGCTGGGAGCGTGGACATCCACGATCTGGACCTCGGTGAAGCCTCCGGAGGATAGGAATGGCTTCTGGAAGGCAAAGTCATGGTCCAAGTTCAGGTTTGGAAGCCGGCTCTTTTCAAGGCGAGCGTTCAGGTCCAGTTTCTTCTCCGGGGCGGATGATTGACGGGAATAGTCCTGCCGGCGATGCTCCTCCGGGTGAGACTTGGAACGCTTAAGGGCGTCTCGAGGATCCTCGGGAGCTTTTTGATGAGAAGGAGGCAGTTTTTCTGGGACTGGGCTAGGCTTAGATGCTGGAAGTTCTGGGGTGGAAATTACCGGGGATTTTTTTGGAGCGTCAGCGGTGACGTTAGCTAGGTCAGGATTTATTATAGGTTTTGAAATCGGGCTCTTTAATTTTGGAGATGCAACGGTCGAATCTGGAAGTAAAAAAATTTGTTAATTATGAGTTTGGTTAAAAATTTTTTTAAACTTTAAAAATTAATTTTTGAAAAATTTTAGAGATTTTTAATAATTAAATTGATTGAGAAAAATAATTTTTTTTGAAAAAAAAAAAAAAAAAATTAATTCTTTTTAAATACTTAAAAAAAATATTTGAAAAATTGTTAATTCAGATTATTTTTTAATTTTTTTTTGTAAATAAATTGGAACTAGATAAATTAATTTAGGAAATTTTCATACATAGTTTTTTGTTATTTTCATAGTTTAATTATTTTAATTTGTGTAATTTTTTTTTTAGTAAAAAAAAAATCATAAAATTGCTGATGATTTTAGAAAGTTAATTGTTTTTTCAAGTAATTTCAAAATGTTGATAGTAATTTATTAAAAAAAAAAAAATCATCGATTCTGGTCAAATTTTTTTTACTAAAATTAGTAATTTTTATAGAAAATGATAAAGTATCTTCTCAGAAGAAATTAATAATTGTAAAAAAAAAAAATCTAGAGTGATTTTTACCAAATTTTTAACTTTTATAAAAATTTTCTTAATAAAATCGAAAGATGTTGTAAAACTTAGTGGTTTATATTTCAATTGATCAAGTAATTAATTTATTTAAATAGCTATTAATTTCAATACGACTAATGAAATTTAAAAATAAAAAGATAGTTTACTAATTTCTATAGAAAAAAAAACTCCAAATTTTTTTTTTTTATAAAAGTAGATTATAACTAGAAAATTATGTTTAAAAAAATTTTTTTTCATAGTTTAATCATTTTAAATTGTAAGTTTTTTTTCATGATTTTTTATAACATTGAAATTAGCAGACACTTGACAATTTTTCAATTTTTATTAAAGCTTTTAAAAATGGAATTTTGAAAATTAATTCGTCTTGCTATAACTTTTTTGTTAAAAAATTGATAAAAAATTGTATTTATTATTTTCTACATTTTTCAAAAATGAAATCAATTTTTCTATCTGTATTTATTTGTTATATAATTTATAAAAATTAAAAAAAATTGCATTTATGATTTTTTAGAGTTTCTAAAAAAGAAATAAATTTTTCTAGTTAAAATTTTTTTGTTAAAAAATTTATAAAAATTGTATTTATAATTTTTCCAGTTATTAAAAATGAAATAAATCAATGTCAAAAAATTTTTTCAAAATTAAATTTTTAAAATAGTGCATTTATAATTTTTTAGAGCTTCTAAAATTGAAATAAATTTGTCTAGCTATAGTTTTTTCTTATTAAAAAATTTATATGAATTTTTTAAAAATTGCATTGATTATTTTTTACAGCTTCTAAAAATCAAATAAATTTATCGATCTAAAATTTTCGTGTTAAAAAATTTATAAAAATTCTAAAAAATTGCATTTATAATTCTTAAGAATTTTTAATAATGAAATTAATTTTTCTAGTTATATTATTTTTGTTAAAAAATTTACAAAAATTCTAAAAAACTGCATTTATAATTTTTTAGAGCTTGTAATGATGAAATAAATTTTTTTGTTAAAAAATTTATAAAAATCGCCTTTATCACTTTTTAGAGCTTTTAAAAATGAAATTAATTTTTCTAGCTAGGGTAAATGCACCAGTTGTTGACCGGTCACCAATTAGTTGACCGATGTATAAAAAAGTTAATTAATTAATATTTTACAAGGGTTTTTTTTTTTCTTAAAGTATTAAAATAAAAAAATATGGCATTTAATCATCATAATAAAAAATTACGCAATTAATTGCGCAGTGATTACAGCGTTAAAAAAATATTCCGAGTTTGTTTACAACGCAACCAGCCATAAAGCGGTCAAAAATAACTAGCGTACAATTGGAGAGTGAGTACATTTCATAATTAATTTAGTGATATTTATCGGCATAATATAAAATATTTCAGTTTTATTATGTTAATTAAAGATCAGATTCCAACTTTTTTGAAAAAATAAAGCTAAATTATAAGTTTTAATATTATTTTAAGACCGGTCAACTATTGGATCCGTCAGAAGCCCTTTACCCAGTAAAAAATTCATTCGGTCATTTATTAGACCCTCTGATTTTATCACAATCCAATTAATCACCGTATAATTATAATACTAACTTCTCAACCTCAAAATTAAATCTGTCAAGTGTTTAAAGTACTTTAGTCATTAAATATTTTGTAAATATAAAAATAATCATTATAAAATGTATATTTATAATTAAAATAATACTTAAAATCTTTTTTGATTATTAAATTTTATTTTGTTTTAATTTTTTTAGTGAACGGTTATAGCAAAGAACGAATTATTAGAAGAAAAAATTGCTAAGCAATTAAAAAAATAAAAAAGAGTTACAAGCTAGTAAAAAAGCTTTAATTGAAAAAAAGAAGGAGAAGAATAAAAAAATTTCAAGTGAATCAGAAGAATTATCGTCATCAAAATGAATTTGTGATTATTTGTGACCTAAAGAAATGTGACTTTTTGTTAATTATTGCTATTATTTATATTATTTTATAAAAAAGTACGATTTAAAATTATATTGTATGTTTAGTTTTGTTAAAGATGTCGTTAATACTTTAAAAGTACTGCATAAATTTAATTACATACATGTAGTTTACAAAATTACTTATAATTATTTGAGCGGTCAATTAATTGGAGAACGGTCGGTCATTTATTGGATTTATTTAACTTTAATAAAATCCATTATAAATTGGTTTTAGTAGGTTAATAGATTTTTTATAGCTTAGCACAGAAAAAGAAAACCTTAATCGGTCAATAATTGGTGCATTTACCCTAGATAATTTTTAATTTATACTTTTTTGTTATTTTTATAGTCTAATTTTTTGATTCTTTTTTTTTTTTTTGAAGAAAAAAAATCATAAAATTGCTGATTTTAAGAATATTGATATTTTTTTTTAAGAAAATTTCAAGTAACAATTCAAAATACTACTAGTAATTTATTAAAGAAAAAATCCAATTTTGGTAAACATATTTCTACTAAAATTAGTAATTTTTATAAAATATAAGTAAAGGTATTTTCTCAAAAGAAATTCATTGTAAAAAAAAAAATTAAAGATTGACTTTTAACAAATTTTCTCAATCAAATCACTAGAACTTTTTAATACTGAGTGATTTATATTTCAATTAATTAATTGATTTTTTATTTAAATAGCTATTAGTTTCAGTACTACTAATGAAATTTAAAAATAAAAAGATAGTTTACTAATTTCTATAATAAAAAAAATCCTCCAATATTTTTTATTTTATTAAATAGATTAGAACTATCAAATTACATTCAAAAAAATTTTTCTTTATAGTTTAATCATTTTTAATTGTATTTTTTTTTTATGATTTTTTATGAAATCAAGATGAACAGACACTCTACAATTTTTGGATTTTTTTTTAATAATAAATTAGATCTAGAAAATTATTTAAAAAAATTGTACTTATAATTTTTTAGAGCTTTTAAAAATGAAATAAATCGTTATAGATATAATTTTTTTGTTAAAAAATTCGTAAAAATTGAAAAGAAATTTTAATTTATAAGAATTTCTAAAACATTGCATTTATGATTTTTTAGTTTCTAAAATTAAAATAAATTTTCTAGCAATAATTTTTTGTTAAAAAATTGCATTTATAATCATTTAGAGCTTCTAAAAATGAAATTAATTTTACTAGCTATAATTTTTTTGTTAAAAAATTTATAAAAATTCTAAAAAATTGCATTTATAATTTTTCAGAGCTTTTAAAAATGAAATTAATTTTTCTAGCTATCAATTTTTATTAAAAAATTGATAAACATTTTTTAAAAATTGCATTTATGGTTTTTTAGTTTCTAAAAAAGAAAAAAATTTTTCTAGCTACAATTTTTTTGTTAAAAAATTGTATTTATAATTTTTTAGAGCTTCTAAAAATTAAATAAATTTTTCTAGCTACCATTTTTTTGTTAAAAAATTTATAAAGATCATTTAAAAATTAAATTTATAATTTTTTAGAATTTCTTAAGATAAAATAAATTTTTCCAACTATAATTTTTTTGTTAAAAAATTATAAAAAATTGCCTTTATAATTTTTTACATCTTCTAAAAATGAAATCAATTTTTCTAGCTATAATTTTTTTGTTAAAAAATTGCCTTTATAATTTTTTATAACTTTTAAGAATAAAATAAATTTTTCTAGCTATAATTTTTGTGTTAAAAATTTTTTTTAAATTAAATTCATAATTTTTCAGAGCTTCAAAAATTGAAATAAATTATTTTGTTAAAAAAATTTTTTTTCAGTTCCTAAAAAATTATCAAACACAATTAATAGTATCAATAAAAATAAAAACCCAAAAAACAATATTTACCGTTATCGTGAACTCCATTAGCGACCTTGACCTTCTCCAACAACGGCGGAACATTAGAGCACTCATTCTTATGCCTGGGCCAGTCGCGAAACTGGCAATCGCGACTGCAGTAACTAGAGGCGCAATTAGCGCAGCAGTGAACAGCATCCCTATGACAAGCGATGCACTTGTCAACGAGATGACCTAGCTGGTCTGAGCCTACAGCAAACCTCCCCGGACTTCTCATCTCCAGAACCTTGTTAGCCCGCGAAACAGCAGCAGGACTCGGGTCAGGAATCGCGTAATAAACATACCCTCGTCCCCCAGAGACTTTCCTCTGCCCCAGGGTGTCCAGAGTAAGCTGACCTCTGGTCCAGAGCGAGCTGGACTCCGGATACTCCAGCTCGTCGAAGTACTTGTATAGCTCGGGATTGATCGGATAATGCCGAGCGTTCATCTCGTAGCGGGTCGCTGACATAGGAGCTGGAGGCAAGGTCAGAGGAGTTCTTCCGTGGTAAGGAAGCCCTGACTCATTAAAACGGTAGTCTCGCTCTCCAATTGGAGTCGCTGGTGCTCCAGGTGGCTTTGATGTTGGAGTCACTGGAGTCAGAAGTCCCTCCGGGATCATCTTTGAGTTCGCTGACCTGCTGCTGAACTTCACTCGCATGAACATCGGCTTCTGCTGGTTTAAATTCGCGATCGCTGACTCTGCCTCTGCGTAGGTCTTGTAAGAGACAAATGCAAACTTGTTGTCCGGTGCGACTAAGGATGTCACTATTCCGTACTGACGGAACACTCTTTCCAGTCCATCCTGAAAATAAAATTATTTTTATTGGGGAAAAATTGATTGTATTGTTTTTTGGCTAGTGTATTTTTATAGATATATAATTAAGAAATGACCTTGTATCTCGTGAACTATAGACGTTTTTAAAGATATAAGCTCATCCTGATGTTACACTCATCGAGACCTTTCATTTGAGTACCCACATCAATTTTTCATATATTTTATATATTTATATATATCATATATATGTATATATGAAAAATATATCAAAAATTGATGTGGGTACTCAAATGAAAGCTCTTGATGAGTGTAACATCGGGATGAGCTTATATCTTTAAAAACGTCAATATTTAAGAAAGTACAGTTCAATTTATTAAAATTCATTATTTAACAAAACAAAATTTTATTTATTTATAGTTCACAAATCACGGTAGTCACATAGTGACTACAGGGTTGCTACACGGAAAGAACAAGATGACACTGGATACCATCTCAGATTATACCCAGTGACATCTGAGGTGAAAAAAAATTTCAGATGGTAGCTAGTATAATCCAGATTATACTGAATAATATCTGGATTATACTCATTGTTATCTGGATTATACTAGCTACTATCTGAATTTTTTTTTCGCTCAGTATAATCTGGGATTATATCCAGTATAATCTTGTTCTTTCCGTGTAGTTGTTATTTTAAAAAATTAAATTATGATGGAAATAATTAAAAAAAAAAAAATATAAATGTTTTTAATTACATAATTTGGATAGTGAAAATTATTTTGGAATAATAAAAATCAATCAAATGAAAAATGAAATTAAAAAAAAAAAAAAAAACAATTATTTAAAAATGTAGCTTCTTTAAAAATTATAGATTTAAATAAATTGATTAAAAAAATTTGAAATATAAAATTGAGTAAAAACTAATGATTAAAAATTCGAATAGAATAAAAAAATATACATACTGCGTCTAATTCTTCGGGAATGTTGCTCACGTGAAGAACAAAATCATCGAGATCACTGAAAAATTACAATAATTATTAATTAAGTGTCAATATATAACTTAAAAAATCTGCAAATTTATTGTTAAACTTAATCTTCTTTTTTGCGTTTATAAAAATTATTTAAAATTTTCAATTGCAAAATATTGGTTAAAACATTTATTCTTAAATAAATTGAAATAAAAAAAAAAAATTGTAAAAATTCTAAAATTAAGATATATTTATACAAATAAATAGTTAAAATATTAATATTAAATTTATTTTGCAACACTAAATTTTAAATGTAAGAAATTTATTTTAATATTTTAAAATGAAATTTTCTCATCTTAATATTAAAAATTTTTAAATTATCAAAAATTAAATAAAAAAAAAGTAAATAAATAAATTATTAAATGAAGATTGATTTCAATAATTAAATTAACTATCATTAAAATTAAAATTATTTGTATAAATGTGATAATTTAAAATTAAAAAAGGTATTTTTTTCTAATTTTAAAATTTTTAATATCTTAAGATTAAAAATCTTTTTTATAAAAAAAAAACATGTGTGCAAAAATCCTTTGAAAAAAAAAAAAAAAAAAAAATTTCAAAACTTTCTTTACAATAAAAATCATAAAATTAAAATTAGAAAACCCTTAACCAGGTTAAAAATAAAGCCACCAGCTTGACCAGCTTAACCTTAAGAGCTCATAAACAACATTATTATCTTCTGCCCTGCTAACTATTGTGTGAACATACTCATCTGTTCATTTTTTTTTTAGGCAATAAAAATCCAAAAAAAAAAAAGTAGAATAATAATAAATATACTTTAAATCTGTCATAAAATTAAAATTCGGCTTACTGATGCTGATTTTAATCCTTGCATTGAGAAAAAAGTTTCAAGAAAAACCCAGGGAATTTTTACTAGTAGAAAATTTTCTCGGGGAATTTTTACAAAACAAAAAATTCCGACCACGTGTTTTAATAATAAAACTAACAATTGTTATAAATAATTGAAAATTTTAAATGAAAAAAAAAATTTTTTACAATAGAAGCAACAAAAAAGACTACTATATCTAAAATTATAATTCAGAAATTACCTTGTATCTTGTGAACTGTTGACATTTTTAAAGATATAAGCTCATCCTGATGTTACACTCATCGAGACCTTTCATTTGAGTACCCACATCAATTTTTCATATATTTTTTATATTTATATATATAACATATATGTATATATGAAAAATATATAAAAAATACATGTGGGTACTCAAATGAAAGCTCTTGAAGAGTGTAACATCAAGATGAGCTTAGATCTTTGAAAACATCAATATTTGAGAAAGTAAAGAGCAATATAACAAATATGTTGTGAACTATTGACATTTTTAAAAATATAAGCCCATCCTGATGTTACACTCATCAAGACCTTTCATTTGAGTACCCACATCAATTTTTCATATATTTATATATATATATATATATGTATATATGAAAAATATATAAAAAATGCATGTGGGTACTCAAATGAGAGCTCTTGAAGAGTGTAACATCAAGATGGGCTTATATCTTTAAAAACATCAATATTTAAGAAAGTACAAAGCAATTTAACAAATATATTGTGAACTATTGACATTTTTAAAGATATAAGCTCATCCCGATGCTACACTCATCGAGACCTTTCACTCGAGTACCTACATGGATTTTTCATATATTTTATATAGTTATATATATCATATATATGTATATATGAAAAATATATAAAAAATGCATGTGGGTACTCAAATGAAAGCTCTTGATAAGTGTAACATCAAGATGAGCTTATATCTTTAAAAAAGTCAATAGTTAAAAAAGTACAGTGCAATTTAAAGTCATTATTTAATAAAGGAAAATTTTATATATTTATAGCTCGCAAGTCACGGCAGTCACATAAAGACTGCACAGTTGCTAGTTGAAAATTAATTAAAAAAATTTTAATATTAAAAATTAAATAAAAATTACCTTGAACTCTTCAGATCAGACATTATGATTTTTTAAATAAAAAATCCTCTAGTACTTAATACTCAGTGTAACTTGCAAGTAATCGCAAAGGTTTTAAGTACTTGACCTCAGATATTTAATGTTCAATTTACTTCCTGGAAACAGAAAAATATATATTAGTACTTTATTACTCATAAAAAAAAAATAAAAATAAACGTATCAATTTAATCAAGTGTAATAGAATCTTTTCTTAATCTCTATTATGTAAACGTTTACAAACGTGATTTTTTAATAAAGAAAAATAATGATAAGTTTAAAAATTTTGTTGAAAATTTTACAATTTTATTTTATAATTAATAAATTTTTCAAAAAATTTTGTCAACAAAAAAGAAACTTTTTTACACTACATAAAAGTAATAGTTCAATTTTACGATATTAAAATTAAGCATTTGACAATTTAATAATACCGACTAAAGTCAGCCGACGTTTTTAATTTTTTTTCAATTATTAAATTAGAACTAAAAAATATTTGTAAAAAAATTTATGACATTGAAGATGTCATTAAAGTTAGCCGACGTTCTAAATTTTTTGATTTTTTTTTCTAATAATCAAATTAGAACAAAAAAATTTTTTTTAAAATTGCACTTATAGTTTTTGAAGTTTTCTAGACGTGCAATTTTTATTTTTTATTTTTTTGTAATGATTTTTTCAATAAAAAAAAATTCTAAAAATTTTTAATTGTCGGCTTAATTTTTATCACTGAAGTTAGCAGACGTCTAAAAATTTTTGACTTTTTTTATTAATTAAATTACAACTAAAAAAATATTTTTAAAAAATTGCACTTATAGTTTATCAAGTTTTTTACATGTGAATTTTTTTTTTTTAATTGTTTGAAATTTTTTCAATAAAAAATTTCTAAAAATTTTGAAATGTCGGCTAACTTAATTTTCACGACAATTAATTAAAATTTAAGTATGTTAATTTCAATATTTTAATTTATGAAAAAAATAATTCAAGTATTTACTTAAAAATTGACTTTAATTCTAAAAATTGCAAGTTTTTTTAAATTCAATGAAAAAATTAAATTTTACATATTAAAAATGAATTTTTAAGTAAGAAAATAATAATAAGTACCGGGTATTAAAAATAAAAACAATAATACAAAGGAATTATTGAGTTAGTGCCGATAGAGCGACAGCCGAAACTTAATTGTTGCGTTATAGCATTACCCGTAAGCCGAAGAGAGACACTAAGACACTATGCGAGGCCACGCGACTCTAGACTCGCAACGCACAAACAAAAGAGCGAGGAATTTTAGTGTAAACAAATTTCTTTCTTTCTTTTTATTTTAGGTTTGTAATTTGTAATGGCGGCGATGCATTAAATTGATACACTAGCCGGTATTTTAATATTTTTTGACACTGAAATTAGAATTTTAATTATAATACAACAAATTGATTATAATTAATAGAAAAAATATTTTTTTTTTTTAATTTAATCTTGTAATTTTTTTTAATAAATTTAATTAAAGAAAAATAATTAAAAAATTTGTCTTAATTTTCTTTTAGTAAATTATAAATTAAATTAAAGAAAGTTGTTAAGAAAAAATAAAAATTTGCGCTTCTTAAAAAAACTAAGAAATTTTTTTTTAAATATTAATTAAAATTAATATGTAATAATTACTTGCACTAAAATAAATAAATTGTGATAAAAAAAAATTGCATCAAAAATTTTAGTTGTAAAAATTTTAAAAAAATAAAAAAAAAAAGAATTCTTTTTATTTGTACTTACAATTTAACAGATTCTTAAACAAATCTTTGAAGATTGAAGACGATTAATAATTAACAAATTATTATATGAAGGAGTTTTAAGAAAGTTCAAAGAAAATAAATTTTTGGGACGATTGTAAAAAAACGTGAAGTTTCTACTTGCGCGTCGCGCGGCTTAAGCTTAACTGAAAAAGTAAAAACTGAAAACTGAAACTGTAACCGTAACCGAAATAACCGAATAGTGCTTTCGAGAAATTTTATCGAGCATCGAGCTTCGAGCTATCGAGTTTAAATTGCAAGTAGAGGAGCGAGTGGAAACAAAATGGAGGATCTAAAAAACTTGAGTGGGGAAAGTTAAAAAGTAGGAACGCGCATGTGCGGTAGTTATTTTTTAGAAAAGTAAGAAGAAAGTTAATTCAATACTTAATTATTATTTAATAAAATGACATTAAAGTTAGCAGTCACTAAAGAATTTTTTAATTTTTTTTAACAAAGGAATTTGTTGAAATAAATTACTTTTAAAAAATTGCATTTTTTGTTTTTTAAAATTTCTACATGTCAATTTTTTTATAATACTAAAGTTAGCCGACGTTTTTAATTGGTTTTCATTTATTAAATTAGAAGAAAAAAATTGCACTTGTAGTTTTTAAAGTTTTTTACCAATGAAATTTTTTTTTCTTTTTTGGAATAGTTTTTTTTTTTTTAATAAAAAAAAATTTTTTAATTTTTAAATTTCGGCTAACTTAATTTTCATATTTGTTTTTGACATAATTTATTGAAAAAAAAAATTCTAAAATTTATTAAATATCTGCTAAATTTATTATCATTTTAATAAATTATTAATAATAATTTTTATATATAATAAAATAAATTTATTAGAAAATTATCCAATTTAAAAAAATTTTTTCTATTACAAAAATTATAAAAAAAAATATGATGCTAAAATTAGAGCAGTCACATGTCAATTTTTTTATTTTTCTTGCAATTGCAATCTAATTAGAATGTAAAGAAAATTATTTTTAAAAAAATTGGAGTTATTATTATTTACTGAAACTGTAACCGTAACCGAAATAACCGAATAGTGCTTTCGAGAAATTTTATCGAGCATCGAGCTTCGAGCTATCGAGTTTAAATTGCAAGTAGAGGAGCGAGTGGAAACAAAATGGAGGATCTAAAAAACTTGAGTGGGGAAAGTTAAAAAGTAGGAACGCGCATGTGCGGTAGTTATTTTTTAGAAAAGTAAGAAGAAAGTTAATTCAATACTTAATTATTATTTAATAAAATGACATTAAAGTTAGCAGTCACTAAAGAATTTTTTAATTTTTTTTAACAAAGGAATTTGTTGAAATAAATTACTTTTAAAAAATTGCATTTTTTGTTTTTTAAAATTTCTACATGTCAATTTTTTTATAATACTAAAGTTAGCCGACGTTTTTAATTGGTTTTCATTTATTAAATTAGAAGAAAAAAATTGCACTTGTAGTTTTTAAAGTTTTTTACCAATGAAATTTTTTTTTCTTTTTTGGAATAGTTTTTTTTTTTTTAATAAAAAAAAATTTTTTAATTTTTAAATTTCGGCTAACTTAATTTTCATATTTGTTTTTGACATAATTTATTGAAAAAAAAAATTCTAAAATTTATTAAATATCTGCTAAATTTATTATCATTTTAATAAATTATTAATAATAATTTTTATATATAATAAAATAAATTTATTAGAAAATTATCCAATTTAAAAAAATTTTTTCTATTACAAAAATTATAAAAAAAAATATGATGCTAAAATTAGAGCAGTCACATGTCAATTTTTTTATTTTTCTTGCAATTGCAATCTAATTAGAATGTAAAGAAAATTATTTTTAAAAAAATTGGAGTTATTATTATTTATAAATTTTTAAAAATAAAATTTTTAAAATAAATTTATTTGTTAAAATAATTCTAAAAATTATCAGATGTTTTTTAGTTTTACTATCATTAAAAATTTATTAATGTTTTGTATTAATTTGATTGAAACTAGAAAAAGATTTTAAAAAAATTTTCAGTTGTTTAATTTTTATGTAAAATTTTTATTTTAATTTTTTCAATAATAAAATTCATAAAAAATATCAAATGTTTGGTAATCTAATTTTGATAAAATTTTTATACTTGAATTAACAAACGTTTAAAAAATTTAGGAATTTTTTTTATTTATTAAATTAAAATGAGAAAAATATTTTTTTTAAATTGTAATTATAATTTTTTAAATCTGCTACATGCCGAATTTTCAGTTTAATTTTTTTAGAATAATTTTTTCAATTGATAAAATGTTAGATTTCTGCTTATTTTATTTTCATAAAAATTTTATGTTGAAATTAATAACAAAAAAAATTTATTAAAAAAATTCCATCTTTAGAAGATCTAAAAATTTATAATTACAATTTTTTGATAAACATTCTTCAAATCTAATTTATTTTCTAAAAAAAATAAAAACAATTGTCAATTGTCTGCTAATTTAATTTTCATAAAAATTAAAAAAAATTCTTTGTGTAATTTTAAAAATTTTTCTTACAATAAATTCAAATTTATTAAAAATTCTTTACTTTCTAACATTATATTATTTTTATTATTTTACAATTACAAACATAAAAGAATTTTTAAATAAGTTTTTTAATTTCTAAAGAAAAAATTAAATTCTTCAAATTTTCAACTTTTTATACAAAATTTCTAAATTATTAAAAAATCTTCTATTTATTATTGAAAAATTAATTAATTATTTTATTAAATTAATAAAATGAACACCGAATTAATCGCATTATTAAAAAAACCATTCAAATAAAAAATCTCTAATTTCTAAAGACGAAAAAATTAAATTCTATAAATTTGCAACTTTTAAACTAAATTTTTAAAAAATCTTCTATTAATTAATTAAAAATTAATTAATTAATTAATTTAATTAATCAAACTAACACTTAATTAATCGCATTAATAAAAAAAAACCAATGAAATAAATAAAAATAAAAAATCTCTAATTTTTAAATTTCAAATTTCGCGCTTTTTACGAATTTCAAATTTTCCGCGGTAAAATTTAAAAATAATTACAAAAAAGCATTAATTTAACAAAAATAATAAATAAATTAATTAAAAAAATTCTAAATTTAATATTTTTTAATCCAAAAATCGAAAAATCTAAAAAAAAACCAACTTCCTGCTGAAACTATACTCGCGCATGCGCAGTAGCGCAAAAGTTCCCGTCGCGCATGCGCAGTAGTTTAAAACTATAGCAAAATAGAGTATACAAAATGTATATATTTAAATAATGAATTGAAAAGCAATGCTGCCACGTCCTCCGTGACTTTAAAAAATTAGCTGCGCAAACTCTACAATGTTCTCTGGTTAGGGAGTCGATGCTTCTTTTAGTCATTAAAACACCTAAGCGTTGTCCCAACTACGTCCTAAGCTTCTTGTTTCTCTTTTTTAACACCTTTCGAGGAGTTGTGTTTATCAGTACGTGCTGCAGAGTAAGTTTTTAAATAAATCTTCAATAATAATAAATAATAATTATTAATTTTATTAATATTTATTTAAATAAAAAAATTGTTAAAATTTTAACTCTCTTGTTAAAAAAAACTCGGAGCTACCGGGTGAAAAAAAATGAACAATAGTCTCGGTGAAAAAAAGTTTAACTAGGTTTTGAGATCGGCCATCGTGGCCTTTCTTAACCTCAGAGACCTAAATTAGTAATATTTTGTTCAGCGTGCAAAATTATCTTGAGCTTTTGTTTATTTATTTGTTATATAAGTTTTATGTATTTATTATTTTACAAGGATTTTTTTCATTACCAAATATTATTTTAAGGTCGGTTTATGATTCAAGCTACGCAAGGTCAGATGTCATGAACGCGTGCCTTCGCGGTTTTTTATATATTATTTTATTTTATTTAATATTTATTTTTTACTTTTTTTTTTTTGTTAATACTGATGTTTTTTTTTTTTTTTTTCAGACGGTTGTTGTATGAGTCAAAAAATAGAAAAGCCAGTGCTATCAGGTCAACGCATAAAGACCCGAAAAAGAGGTAATTTTTTTTTTACTATTTTGGTAATATTTATAAAAAAATTTTTTGGAGTTGCAAAAATTTTTTTTTTGTATTTTTCAAAAATTAATTGTTATTTTTTAGAATTTTATTAATTTTTACTAGAAATTTTGCAGTTACTTGCATTCTGCAATTACTTGTGAGCTGAAAAATTAAAAATTGCACTGTATTTTCTTAAATATTGACGATTTTAAAGATATAAGCTCATCTTGATGTTAGACTCATCAAGAGCTTTCATTTGAGTACCCACATGCATTTTCATATATAGATATATATATGATATATACAAATATATTAAATATATGGAAAATTGATGTGGGTGCTCAAATGAAAAGTCGCGATGCGTGTAATGTCAGAATGAGCTTATACCTATAAAAATGTCAATAGTTTACGTATCTTAATTTGAAATAAATTAAAAAAAAATGAAATTCTAATTTATGTTAAATTGCACTGTATTTTTTTAAATATTGACGTTTTTAAAGATATAAGCTCATCTTGATGCTACACTCATCAAGAGCTTTCGTTTGAGTACCCACATGCATTTTTATATATATTTTTCATATATTTATATATATAAATATATAAAATATATGAAAAATTGATGTTGGTACTCAAATGAAAGGTCTCGATGAGTGTAACATTAAGATGAGCTTATATCTATAAAAATGTTAATAGTTCACAAGATACCAGGTCATTTCTTAATAATTGACATTTTTTAAGATATAAACTCATTTTGATATTATACTCATCAATAGCTTTCATTTGAGTACTCACATGCATTTTTATATATACTTTTCATATATACATATATATAATATAAATAAATAAATATATAAAATATATGAAAAATTGATGTGGGTACTCAAATGAAAGGTCTTGATGAGTGTAACATCATGATGAGCTTATATCTTTGAAAATGTCAATAGAAATCATGGCAAAAAAAATTTTTTTAAATGAAATTTTGCAATTTTTTTTTTAATTTAATAACATATTAAATTTTGATATATTTTTTATATATCAATTTTTTATTTCTTACTATTTACGGTAATATTTACAAAAAAAATTTCTTTGAAGCTCCAAATAATGGACACTTAAAAAAAAATTTTCAAGAAATGTATTGTAATAGAAACGCCATTTAATTTTTTCAATTTTTTGATTAATTTTATTCATGCAATTGAAAAATTTGATTAAGTATTTTATTATAAATTTGAAAAATTTTTATTAATCAAAATTAATTGAAAAATTTTATATTCAATCGTAATATGAAAATGGCGCACTTAGAATTTTTTTTTCAAATCTGAAGAACTTAATTGAAGAAAATTTTAATTTTTAAAGTACTATTGCTTAATTTATTATTTTTTCAAATTTTTATATACTAATATAAAAATTTAATAGAATTTTTAATTTTTATACTCAACAGTTTTTTAGTATTAATTTTATTTTTTTATTATGATAATTAAATTAAAATAGTATTCTTAAAAATAAATTTTTTTCTATTTTTAAAAATTAATTGAAGAAAATTTTCATGTTTTTTCTAAAATAATTAAAGAAAAATTTTTGAACTTATAATAACAATAATAATTATTTTTTGACTTCTTGATAAATTATTTTTCAAGGCTGTGATGAATTTCTGCATTATAATTATAATTATAGCCTTCAAAAAATGATGGTAAATAATTTATAATAAATAAAATTTAAATTGCAAACTAAAAATATAAAAATCGTCTGCATTGTAAAACAAACATATTAAAATGATTAATTTACAAAAAAAAAATTCTAAGAATTTTTTCCGTATACAAATTTTACAAATTATATAAATTTAGCCACAGTTAAATTTGTATCTACTGAATCCTCGTGGGTTTTAATTTAAAATAACTTGAATTATTAAGTTTACGTCAATATGTGCAATGACCTTTTCAGTGTATAGTAATACCACACCGAATTCTCTTTACTCGAGTGCTTAAACTTGTTCTGATATTTTTTATATATGAGTTTTATTATTAAATTGGTTAAATTATTTTTGGAATTATTTTTAATACCTAGAATTGATCTCTAATTATTAAATTTAATTTAAATTAATTTTATTTGAAATTAAACTAAATTAATTAGAATTATTTCTGGATTTTAGAGTTGAAAATTTATTTATTTATTTAAAAATTAATTAATTTATTAAAAAAATGAAATTCTAATTTTTTTTAAATTGCACTGTACTTTCTTAACTATTGAAGTTTTTAAAGATATAAGCTCATCCCGATGTTACACTCATCAAGAGCTTTCATTTGAGTACCCACATGAATTTTTCATATATTTTTCAAATATACATATATATAATATATATTTTTAAGATATAAGCTCATTTTGATGTTACACTCATTAAGAGCTTTCATTTGAGTACCCACATGCATTTTTGATATATTTTCATATATATACATATATATAATACATATAAATATACAAAATATATGAAAAATTGATGTGGGTACTCAAATGAAAGGTCTCGATGAATGTAACATCAGGATGAGCTTATATTTTTAAAAATCTCAATTTTACTTTATAAATAAAAATTTGCAGATGAAAAAGAGAAGTACGATCCTACCGGATTCCGTGATGCAGTGTTACTGGGTCTGGAGAAGGCCGACAACGACTTAGACGCAGTATCGAAGTACCTCGACACCGCAGGCTCTAAACTGGACTACCGCCGGTATGGCGAGGCTCTGTTCGACATCTTGATCGCCGGCGGGCTCCTCGTACCCGGGGGATCCGTCGCCCAGGATGGAGACAAGCTCTGCAAGACAAAGGCCTGCGTGTTCGAGCAGCCGATGGACATGGAGTCGCTCAAGAACTTCGAGCAGGTGTTTATAAAGCTGATGCGCCGGTACAAGTACCTGGAGAAGATGTTCGAGGAGGAGATGAAGAAGGTACGTGTAAATTAAAATAAAATTAATTAAAAAAAAAAAAAAAGAAATTTCATAAAATAAAATAAAAAAAAAGAAATTTCATATAATAAAATTAATTAAAAAAAAAAAACAAAAATTTCATGAAATAAAATTAATTGAAAAAAAAAAAAAAAAAAAATTTCATAAAATAAAATTAATTTAAACGATAAAAAATTAAAAAAAAAAAAATTAATTAAAAAAAACAAAAATTTCATAAAATAAAATTTAAAAAAAACAAATTTCATAAATTAAAATTAATTAAAAAAAAAACAAAAATTTCATGAAATAAAATTAATTTAAAAATAAAAAAATTTCATAAAAAAAAATTTCATGAAATAAAATTAATTGAAAAAAAAAAAAAAACATAAAATAAAATTAATTTGAAAAAACAAGAAAAATTTTATAAAACAAAATTATTAATTAAAAAAAAACAAAAATTTCATAAATTAAAATTAATTAAAAAAAAAAAAACAAAAATTTCATGAAATAAAATTACCTAATTGAAAAAAAAAAAAAAAAAATTTCATAAAATAAAATTAATTTAAAAATAAAAAAATTTCATAAAAAAAAATTTCATAAATTAAAATTAATTAAAAAAAAAAAAACAAAAATTTCATGAAATAAAATTACCTAATTGAAAAAAAAAAAAAATTTCATAAAATAAAATTAATTTAAAAATAAAAGAATTTCATAAAAAAAATTTCATGAAATAAAATTAATTAAAAAAAAAAAAAAAAAAAAAAAAATTCATAAAATAAAATAAATTTAAAAAAGAAAACAAAAATTTTATAAAATAAAATTAATTAAAAAAAAAAACAAAAATTTCATAAATTAAAATTAATTATTTGTAATCTAAAATTAATTTTCATAATATAAAATTAATTTTTATAAAAAATTTTTTAAAAAAAATAAAACAAATTTTTTTTATTTTTTTTATTTTTAGGTACTCGTTTTTATAAAAGGGTTCACGACCCATGAGCGCATCAAGCTCGCCAGGATGACGGCCCTCTGGATCTCGAACGGCGCCGTGCCCCCTACGGTTCTCGGCGTGCTTATCAACGAACATCTCGTCAAGGACAACCTGGCTCTCGACTTTCTTCTTGAGGTCTTCGTCACCTGGAAGAACGAAAAGGGCCTGCCGAGTCTTATGACCGCTCTGAAGCGTGGTGGCATCGAGGGACGGCTCATGGAGTTCGTACCCCCGAACAAGCGCACCGAGGAGTACTTCCGCTCCGTCTTCGAGTCTGTTGGGCTGACTGACATCGTTAAGCTCCACAAAAACCAGGCCAGTCAGGAGGCCAAGCGCGATCTCCAGCAGCTCCTTGTTGAGGACCTCGCTGACAATCGCGCCATTAAGGACATTGTGCTTGATGTCAAGGAAATGGCTTTGAAGTGTGCTATTCCTGAGCATGAAGTCATTGGATTGGTATGATTATTTTTTTTTTATAATTAATTTATTTAATTGAATTTTACTTTTAGGAATTAAAAAAATTCATAAAATTTAAAATAATTATAAAATCTTAAAAGTAAAAAAAAAAATTTTATAATATAAAAAAATTTTATTCTAGTTTGTAAATTAAGTTCTAGTAAATTTAAGAGATTTAAATTGAATTAAGTAAACGTTAGCTCGAAATTCATTAATTAAAAAATTATTACACAATTTTAAAAGTAAAAAAAAAATTTATGACAAAAAAATGTGAATTTTTATTATTATTAAATTCGCTAGAAATTGATTTTTTATACTAACACTTTGTAGAATTTTTTTCGATCTTAAAATTACAAAATTAATGTGCATATTATTAAATTTTTCATAAATTAAATTGTTAAAAATTTATTTAAAATTAACAAACTAAGACTTAATTTTTATATCAAATTATCTAGAACAATTTTTTAGCTTATAAATTAAAAAGTCATTTAATTTTCTAAAATTTCAACAAAAATTAATATCTTAAATTCGTTTTAATTAATTCAAATGAAATTAAATTTTTTTTATAATTTTTTCATAATTTAGAGATAATCTATGTATGTTAATAAGAGAATAAGAAAAATTTTGTGTTCAGAATAGTCATATGATAAAATCGGTTTTTTTAGTGTCTTGATTTGAATTTTTGCCTTTTCAAGATTACATATCATTTTCACCGATAATCAATTTGTGATAAGTATTTAGGCTGCATTCGAAAATTCTATATCTCTAGATACATAATTAAGAAATGACCTTGTATTTCGAAAACTATTGATATTTTTAAAGATATAAGCTCATCCCGACATTATACTCATCGAGACCTTTCATTTGAGTACCCACATGGTATTTTTTATATATTTTATATATATA